CGATCTCATATTACAAGGATTTTTAGATACACACACACATACACACACACAACACTGTCTGACAAGAATAACAGCCACCCTTGATATAAATTATCCAGGCTTGTGGAAGCTCACTTTACGCACACATGCGGTTTTTCTTGTTTGCCCCTGGTCCTTCCCGGCGGTGGTTGGTGTCATGGCTCCAGTTATGAGTGCTCCAGAAATGGGGTTGCTCTGTCTTGTTCCTGTCCCACGTTGGCATCTGTGCAGAATTCTTCTCATTTTAACCTATGATGTTTTCCTCCACACTGGTCCACCCTGGCTCCAGGGGTTTGCTTTAAGACTCCTTTTGCATTCACGCAGGATGAGTTTTTAAGGAGCAACGACCCTCATATCTACCCAGTGAACACAGATTACAGAGGCTTCTAACAGAGCTGTAACTTCTTTTCTTTGGAAAGAAAACAACTAAGCTATTTACCCTCTTGAGATGAGCCCTGAGTTCCTCCTGCCAGCCAACGGAATCACTTTTGATTTCCATTGACGTGTCACATGCTGTACTCGGTTCCCTGACTCAAGGCCTTGCAGCCTAGACGAGTACACCCTATGGTTTTGGGAACACTCCCAGGGATGTCCTTACAGTGACGTCCAAGGGAAATTCGCAGTGGAGAACAGCGAACACACAACGGAGAAATGAGAGTTTAACTTAATCCTGTTCTTCCTGAACTGAAAAAGCCTTGAACGAGGCTTCACGTAGCTACCCAGCAGGCAGAGACCAGTTCTGTGCCGAGAGAGTGATTTACGAAACAAAATGAAAGGATTGCCAAGAACTTAAGTCCAGAGTTGACTTTTTTAAGGCAAATGACTACTTATATGTATAGCAGGATCATATGAATGTGAAATCTTTTCATTTGAAATTTTAAAATATTTTAAGTGTGAAATCGTGTGGGTGTATACTTTCGTTACAAGCAGTAGATTTAGTAGAGCATGGAAAACATTTTTTGTCACCAGGGAATAGAAGGTACATTATTTACAGAATATACACTACAATCTGTACTCTTAACTTGATTTTTTTCAAGGTAGTAGGCTGCTTGGATTTGAATCTCTACCCTGGTTGTTTACTTATTAACTGTGACTATTTTTACTTTGCTGTCGCTTTAAGGTGCACGGTGTCAACAATCATTGAAGCGTAGGGATTACTTCGCGGGTTGCCAGAGGACCCCTGCCTTGAATGCAGTCTCGGGAGCGACTCTCCAGGTTTGCACACGCTCCTCCTTTATTACCGTCACCAAGCAGCTCTCAGTGCAGCTCCGGCCCTGGAGGGTCTCCCTGTCTCTTCCCATGCTCTCTCTCTGTCTCACCCTCTCTCTCAGCGTCTCTCTTTCTGTGTCACTCTCTGTCCTTCTGTCTCTCTCTCTCCTTTTGCTTCTTCATGGCTCTTTCATTTTCTTCCTAAAACATCAAAACCAATTTTGAGACTTCTGACTTTGGATCTAAAGAGTTGATGTGAGTAGAGTTTCATGATCTAAACTCTGGATTTGAAAATCTTGGTGTAGAAGGAAAGGAAATCATCCCAGGCTATTAGGAAAGACATGTAGTATAAAGGGGGCCTGGACCGAAGAAGGAGGATTTCTCTCATTCATTCCGCACATATTTACTGAGTATCAAGTCTGTTCTGAAAGTGAAGCCGTGAATGAAACCAAATCCTGCCTCTGCGGAGCACACACTCGGGCTGGGTGAGACAAGTCGACAAAACACCAACAAATTGGGAAATACCTGGTCCCGATGAGTGTTAGGAGGGGATGAAAAGAGCCACTAGGACTTGGGAGGAAGGGGTTATTTCGAGTAGGGAAGCCCTCCTGTGAGACGGTAACACGTGAACTGAGACCTCACAAGCTGAGCAACTGTAGATGAATCACTTAACCTTACTGAGCCTCTCCGGGGGAAATTAGGTCTGAAGTGCTCAGTTTATTGCAGGGACAGAGGAGGGGAAATATATATATAAAGTGATCTAACCAGTAGGAACTGTTACTGTCATGGACAAAATACTGTATCAGTTAGGGTCTGAGCAAGGGACAGAAAACGTAATCAAATTAGGACTACTTGAGTAGAGTTTAAGAGAAAAAGAATGTACAAAATTCTTTTGGAGGGAAATGAGAATGGAAAATGCAGTCCCTGGGGTCTAGTGAGAGCAGACAGCAATTCTCATCTCAAGACCCCGAAAGAGAGAAAAGAGTGTGGTCACTGGCCGGAGAGGGAGCCCAGGGGAGCAGGCAGCCAGGCTGAGCTAAAAACCTTCGCTTTCCTGGCTTGGAGTCGTTTGAGGGTCTCCCCTGTGCAGGGCTGGGCTAGGCACCGCCAGGGATTACCACGGTGTGCTAGGTATGGAGTCTCCTACCCACAGGCTCACAGCCAAGGATGGCAAATGCCCTGCAAGCGTGCTGGTTGGTTGCAGTGAAGAAAAGGCTAAGGCCCAGAAAGGGAGGTCAGAGAAAGACTAGGAGCCCTGGGGTCAGACCACTTCCGGCCAGCAGATCAGGGGAAGTACCAGAGAGGAGGTGGCCGTGTTTGCCCTGGACCTTAAAGGAGGCCCAGGGTTCACACATGCAGGGGTGAATGTGGTGGAAACCCCTGCATGTGCAGAAACTAGGAAATTAGTTCGGCTGGAGCCTCTGGCACGTGAAAGGGATTTCAATTTTGTCATTTCTATGAATCCATCCTCTCGCTGATCTCCTTTCTTCCTTCAATCTGTGCCTCCGCTGCCCTCTTTCGCTGACTTTCTCGTTTTGTTTTCCTTGTTGTTCTCTTCCATGAGAGGAGGATTTGGGTGGAAGGGCAGATGGGAGGGAAGTGGGGCCCTGTGAGGTGTCAGAAAAGCGCTCAGTCCATCGTTTCCCCAGCTGTAGCTCAGCCTATTCCAGAGATCACTGACGGGGTGGGAAACGATGGGGAAAGGAAACAAAATGACTCCAGGGTGAAGGCTAGTTACCTTACCCCTTTAACCCGATTCTGCTTCTCTGCCTGTTTTCTGAGAACCAAAGGCAGAAAACATGGGACACAGGAGGGAGACAGATTTTACAGGATGTTCCTGGGGCCTTTGTCCTTCAGTTGGCACTACAGTTTTCCTGAAACTGACTCACTTCACTTCCACCCCCGTGCACACCCTGCCTTGCACTGGAGTCAGGTACGGCTCCCTGGCTCCGGGGCAGCAGAACTCTCCAACGAGCTGTGCAGTTCCCCGGGCCAGAGGCGCTTCACCTGCACAGGATGCTTAAGGAAGGAAAGATGGATACACTGTCCTGGGCCTTTTTGTGTGCTTGTTTTTGGTTTCTTCCTTCGCCGTGGAAGCCCAGTTAAAGTGGAAAATTTAAGCTCAGCGCCTTCCCACTGGTCTCTCTAGGTGTTTCCATGCTTCTCAGCAGTGGACACTCACTAAATGTGCATTGAATGAATGAATGTTTGCAAAACAGTGTCTGGGTTGGAGAATTATCATAGCATCACACTGTGTGCACTCTAATTGTCATGTCAGTCTTTGTTCCTGCCTCCAGTAAGCCTTGACCCCATTGGCAGGGTGGGGGTGGGAGTGGGGACAATACTTTGTTTATCTGCGAATCTCCAGTAACTAGAAGACCATCTATGGTCCGTAATAGGCCCTCAGTGAATACTTGTTTGAATGAATGAATAACTAAATTACTGAATGAACAATACTGGCTTCTTCGGGGGACTTAGGGAAATGACGGGAGATGAGAACCCATCACTGAGGCCATACTGGGAAGGGCCTTGTGCACAAAACTAAGGAGGTTGGGTTTTTTAATTTATTCTTTTTGCTGTAATAAATGACTGAAGCCTTTTAAACAATCAGGGAATAATTTAGCTGACCAAAAGCTGTTTTAGAAAGATCGTTCTGATGGTCATGTAGAAGATCAGTTGGTGGGTGCAAAGTCTGATGTTCATATGTTCATCTAAGCTTCTGTTGCTTTCAAACAGTGATCATGAAAACTTTAATGAACAAAGGGCTTTTTAGTACAAATATAGATGTGGCTGCCTTAAATCTATTGTCTATTAATGGAAATAAATACACGTTAGCCACCATAAGGACACAGCCTAAGAGTGCTGGATAGCTTCAGCAGACAACATGTCCTCGTGAAATTGGTGTAAACTGAATGTGTTTGACTATTTCTCATTTCAGTAAAACATAAAGTCACAAGGAGCTTCTAGATCCTCCATGGCAGCCAAGACGATCCTCAAACTAAGAATGAGAAGTGTTCCCCTTCTCACTTTGGGAAAGAGAGTTCTTTGAGGCCCGTGGCCCTTTAAAGTGCTGGACATCTAGTTGCCTGGTTTTGTAGCCACTCCAAGATTCGAAAGGTTGGACTTGTAGCGGCACATTGTTTCCTTTGTCTTTGCCATCTGAGTCGCGGGCACCTGGTGGTCACAACCCAGCATACGGTCTTGGTGAACCGCTTGGGATTAGAGCGAACTGCAATGTTCTGGCCTGTAGCTGAGGGTAAGTCAGGGCCATCTACGTCTGCTTCTCGCACCTCTGAAGCATCCAAACACCTCGTTGTCAACATAGCCTCATAAATATTGATTACTTGTGATGACGTATTATAAATGGCTGTAAAGTTTTTACAGCTCCTTCCATCAAACAGTGGAGTCTTTTTGGCCTACCCCCTGGATCTGGGCTGGCCTTCTGACTTGCTCTGACTTGGAGGAAGTAGCAGACGTGATTCTGTGTGGTTTCCAAGCTGCCACTTAAAGAGGTCTCGGAGCTGCCACTCTCACTCTCCTGGGACTCCACAGCTTGAAGCAAGCCTGAGACAGCCTCTCTGAGAGAGAGACAGACAGAGAGAAAGAGAGAGAGAGCCTATAACATCAGAGGTCCAGCCATCCCAAGAGACGTGAGGCCGACAAAGACCAGCTGGCCTCACAGCCAGCTCTACCAACCGACGCACTGCAAGGGCATGAGAAAGCCCAGCGATGCCACACGCAGCAGAGGTGCGCTGGCCCGTCTGAGCCCTGCCCAGAGCGCCAGCCCATAGGGCTGTGGGAAATAGTTCGTCTTGTCAGCCATTCAATTTGGGGGTGTCATGGTAGACAGAATTCTAAATATGGCCCCCCAAGACTCTCAGTCCCATGTTGTTCAATCAAATATTAATACAGTTACTGCTGTGAAGGGATTTTTCAAATATAATTAAAGCTTCCAAGTCAGTTGCCCTTGTAATAAGAGCCTCATGCGATCATTTAAAATGGTGAAGTGCGCAAATTAAAATCAGTGAGTTCTCTCTGGATTTTCTTAAAGTTTTTCTT